GCAGGAGCAGCATGGCCTTGATCATCTGCTCGGTGCTGTGGATGGTACGGAAGGCAACAGGGAAGCGTTTGGGGTTCCTCAGGGATTCGGTGGTTGCAGTGTAGGTGATCTGGGAGCAAGGGAGAGAAGCTGTTAGATGAAGAGAAGGGGAAAACCAAATTCTGCATTGCCTCGCGGTTGTCAGCCAGGGTGCCACAGCACTGCACAATATTAGTGCTGTCGGCATGTGCAAACCTGGTTCCCGAGATGCACCCAGAGATTTCCAACAGGGATCCAGAGTTTTAAAAATCTCCTGCCTTGCTGTTCTTCCCGAGTTCATAGCAGCATCACAGCTGCTTTCTTATTGTTTTTGCAGCCAAAAACCGAGTGAAAACTAAGAGCCGGCGTTTTCCGAAGGGTGGGTTTGCCAAAATAAGGGAGCCGATGCTCTTCAAATCAAAGCGCGGTGGTTCTGGTCCTGAAACCTACAGTGACGGGAATCTCGGAGGGGTTTGCCCAGCAATAACACGGGCCCCGACTTACCTGAGGGATGAGGAAGGAACTCAGGACGTTGGCCACGGTGACGGCTCCTGGAGAGGAGTCAGGGCCAACAACGGCCAGGACCCGGGGTCGGTAGCGTGCGTAGCTCTGCTGCAGCTGCACCTTGGAGTGGTTGTCGGCGAGGAAATACAAGAGGGGGTGCACAATGTTGGTGTGATAACATACATCCACCATCTCGTAGCCCAGGGAGATCCCGGGCAGCAGGGTGCTGCTGTTGTTGATCTCCTCCACTGCAAATCTCATGGCCCGGAGGAAGCTGTAGCCTACAATCTTCAGGTTAAACCTAGGAGGAGCATAAAATCACGGGTTGCAAGTTGCAAAGGGGGACAGACCCCATCCTCCAAACCCTACCCTCATTTAGCGCTGTGTAATATAGCAGCCTAAAAGAAACAAGAGCCAAGCCCCCGAAACGAGCTCCCGGCAGCCTCAAGGCTGGGCCCCAAATTCTGCCATAAGATGCAGAGCTCCCAACTTCCAGACCTGTGTAAATGAGCGAGTCCCAGCACCCTGCCCCCTTGCTGAAGGTGCCTAAAAATGAGCGAGCAAATCGAGGAGCCTGAAACCAGCCCTCGCAGCACACTGAAAAGCAAGAATTACTCTTCTTATTCTTGGTGTTTTAAGTTGAGCAAAAGGGTCTGTTCCACTTTCAAATGCCTGACGTTTGTTAATGGCCCTGATGTAAACTTCAAAACGAGACTTCGTTTCCAACCAAAATATTCTTCCTTTGGACATTGTTCAAACAAAACGTCCTGGTGCGTCCCCCTGAATTATTATGGGGCAGCTTAGAATAGAAATCCCCACAACGCTGCAAAGCTGTTTACCGAAGCCTGCTTTTATATTTAGAAAAATGTCACCCAGCTCTGTTTGCAGCAAAAACCATTGCTGTTCCTCTGAATTGGACACCGTATAAAGTATATGTCCACAATGGCATAGACTACCATCCTGGATTCAAGACAGTTGTCTGATTGCTACAAACCCTGCATCACGCCATGGTTCTTTGTATTAGGGTATCCAAACTGGGATATTTGCTATTTATCAATGAATCTTGGGCACTGCTCAGAGCCCCCGAAACTTGAATGTACTTATCCTCACTGTATGTCTCTGTGGCAGGGTATTGCTATTATTATCACTGCTTTACAGAATGGGAAGAAATGAAACACAGAGCTGAAGTGACTTGCCCAAGGTCTCACGGGGAGTATGTGGCAGAGAAAGGAGTTCAAGCTTGATCTTCCAAGTCTCTTCCTTCTGCTGCTGTTTGTGCCAGGTGCTGTACATATGCATAGGGCAGGATCTGTTGCTCACTGAAGAGTTTACAGTTTAAATAGACAAGGGGCAGGAGGGGAACATTGCTGTTGTATGAGACATTTTTAAGAGATTAAACCCCTCCATGGCCTTCAAACTTTGGTTGCTTCAACTTGGGTGCTTACCAGAGGTCCTTTAGAAAGCCAACAGGGAGATGTGCAATGCATGGCTACCGTTTCCTACAAGGTGACAAGCATCTGGCTTGATAGTGTCGGCTTAACTTCTGGCTCGCAAACAGAGCCCAAATCAAGCGAGTCCCGGCCCTGAGCATCCACCACAAAACCTGTCCTGTGCCTTGGCCTGAGAATAAACTCTTGCCGGATGCTACTTACGTCTGACATCTTGGCACCTCTGCGTGGGCGAAATAGGATTTGCCCACCGTTTCAGCATGCAGCGAGAAGAGCCCCCCGAGCACATAGTCGCCTGGTAAATGGAAGTCGGAAGCGGTGAGCGTTTGCAAGCTGGTTGCGATCAGCAAGGCACTGAAACACAACCTGGCCTCCCTCATGGCACTGCTGCCTGAACACCAGTCCGTGGGCGAGTGGCTGCAGCAGGTTCCTGCCTTGGATCCACCAACTTGGGGCTTGTTTTCGTCTGTTTGCGCCGACTTATTTACATGCATTTCAGGCACCGTCCTGAACGCATTTCCATCCCGTCATGGGTTGTTGCAATGTCATGGGCAGCGAAATCTGGTGCGCGAGCTGGGCTGCAAGAGAAAACACCTTGTGAAGATGTGTAGGTGCGGCAATGATGGTGACACTCATCTTCATTAGAGGGCTGCTCCGTCCACCAGCGCCCTGAAGAGCCTCAACTCCATCGTTTCGTGGGAGGCCACGTGGTCTAGAGGGCAGAGCACTTGAGGGGCGCACAGACCTGTGGCTTAGCTTCTTGCCACCTTGGAGCAGTCACTTCATCTCCCTGTACCTCCGTTTCTCTCTCGCACCCTTTGTCCATCTTGTACTCTCAGGCTGCAATAAGAGCATCAGGGCAGGGGATTTCTCTCCCTTCGTGTCTGCAGTGCCTAGTACAGTGGGTTGAGATCTTGGAGGAGGGACGTAGATGCTTCTGCTGAACAGACTAAAAATAAATGAATGGGGGTTGTCTCAGCAGAGGAGGCAAGGTCAAAGCCAGTCCCTAGATGCCTTGAAGACTTGCTGTGACATTGCAACTGCCTGTAATCTGTGTTGTGTAGCTTGTTGTCAGCAACACTTAAGAATGAGGGTATTTATATAAGTATTTCCAATTCTTTAGGCATTGCGGTGTATAGAATCAGTTTTGCTGTCCCTACAAAGGGCGAGTCCCCATGAGCGGGAGCGTGCATTTCCTTGGGGACAAACAGCAGCAGCACGATGTGATACTGCTGCTTATACATGGGAAACACCCATGCCAGGCTCTGATTTCCGGCGGCATATGTGCCACCCCAGTTTTTTAAGACACAGGGGGCTTTTTGCACTGCCAGCTGGACTTTTAATTTGGGGAAAGGTGGCATCCTCTACGAGCTCTTTTTAGACTGCAGGTTCTTCAGGGCAGTCCTAAGTCCATGACTGGAGCTTCTCGCTGCTCAGGTCACTCATTAAATAAGAATGATTTCAGCTTCCTCTGAAGGAGACTGAAAGGAAAGGTAGCATCTAGCAAGAGGTAGGCAACCCCCCGGCACGGGTGCCAGAGCATGGTATGCAAAGGCTTTTTGCTTGGCATGTGCACCTTGGGGTGGACGGCGGGGAGGGGGCTGGGGTGCACTGCCACAACAAGGATCGGGCCCCTCGTGGCTCCCCCACCGTCCGTCCCCAGCACACCAACATTTTACAAGTCAAAGTTGCGGGTGTTTTTGGCACTCTACCCAAAAACATTGCCGACCCCAATCTAGCAGGTGCTGAAACAAGGATCTAATGGCCCGTGTTTAGCAACAGCAAAGTCATCACAGCACCAAAGAGCTTTAGAGACCAGGGCGATTGTGAGCTTTGTTGGGTGCTTCTGGATATCTGTGTAATACAGAATGGATGTACCAGCCCTCGTCCCAAACCACCATGCTGTATAGAAGTGATCCCTACCCCTTTCCTCCAAATAGAGGGGAAAAACCCCAAACTGAGACAAATGCAGAACTGCCCGCTTTGAAGACAGACTGCTGCGCCAAGCGGGCAGACTTCATTTCATTTTCAGCTTGCCTAGAGACACTTGCTCAGAAGCGGGTCATTTTTTGTTGTGTGTGTACAGCCCCGGCCCCGGCGCACAGTCCGTGGCTGGGGTTTCTGGGAAACGGCACAACACGAATAGCAAACAGGAGCACAGTGTTTCTAGGAATCGGCACAACACGAATAGCAAACAGGAGCACAGAAGTGAAGTCTGCAATCTCAGCTGCCCCAGCAGTGCCCGTTTGCCAGCTCCATGCCCAGCTCTGGTGTCTCAGCCATGGAAATGAGCCGCAGGTCGTATTTGCATGGGGTTTTGTTGGCGCGGGTATTAAGTGGGGGTGAGGCCTGGTCGAATTTGTTCTTTGAGTCAAGCGATGGGACCGGGCTGTGCAAAGGGAGGTCTGCTGCTTCACCCTGAAGGAAGCCAGGATGTAGGTAGCTGTGTTTTGAAGATCTTTTTTTTTTTTTTATAAGCCTGCAAGTTGTGGAGTGGTGTCATCATCTAGCAGCCCCTGGGTGCCCGTCAGTGCTGTGGGATGTTAGGCAAAGCATTTCCTCTCTGTGCCTTTGTTCCCCTCTTATCTGGTTTCTGTCTCTTCTATTGAGATGCTATTTGAGGCCAGAGCCTGTCTGGCTATATAGTTGTACAGCACCAAACCCAAGAGGTCTGGATCTCTGTTGTGCATGGGCTTTACCAGCATGCTGCAGTCAGGAATTGAAGGGCCTTAAGCTATAGGAGCAAATAACTGCACCTTCAAAAACACAGAAGCCAGTCACTCGATCAATCCCTCACATTTCTGGTGCTAATAATGGGGTGCTCTTAATTTAGGGCTCTCTGGGGGAATTGGTGGTGGCAGAACTGATCTGTTCCCAGTTCAAGACTTTGTGTAACGTAGACAGGCTGGAGCAGTGTCTTGCGCATCATGGGGGTGGCTGTGCATCATGCTTTGAGCTTTGGAGGTCTCAACGAGACCGTACTCGGTGCCTGCTCAGTACAGAAGTCCAGTGCCCAGGTTCAATGCTCTCCTGGCCAGTGCACCACGATGCAGTTAAATTACGTTGGCTCTATATTTAATCACTCCCACTGTTCCAATTTATTGACCTGCAAGGCTGGCAGGTCAGGTCTGCGGCTAGGGTTTGGGCTTCCTACGCAACCCAATCTGCAGATGTGGAGAGGAAGGAATTAACCACACCCTGGGACTTGAGGCTTCACCTATGTTGTAAGGTACACTGCCCTCCTCCCCCAGGGGCCTGACAGCAGGGACGGTACTGTACCATGATGGGAAAACACCTGCAACCCCCTCTTACAGTCCCCAAAGATTATTTGCATGTTGCTATATTAGTTCCTCTCCCCCCTCCACCGCCATCCCCTAGCCTGGCATTTAAATTCAAATAGTGTGCATGATTTGCATGCATTTCCCATAGCTGCAACACCTGATCTTCAGTGTGAACCTGAGAATCTGGAGAGGTACGAGCCCCCTTTGCTCTGCTTCACCTTCTGCCCATTGGGTGGTCCCAGGGGTGCCTCTTGTATAGCCTCCTATGCAATGACCCCTAAAATCCTCCTGCCCTGCCCCTCCTCCACCTCCACAGGTTGTCCTTAATGCTTCTGAACAGGTGTGGTGGTGAATTGCTGGCAAACAGCATTGCATTTAACAGGTAGTATCACGACCTCAACTGCTCAGGCTCTCCTGGGAGTAGCCCCAGGCTGGAGTGCATTCTCCAAAGTTTTGGCTCTTGCATCTCTTCTTAAATTTGCCACACCTGAGTCACCACATATGCAGGGGAAAAAAGGGACATCTCCATTGGCCACATAATAGCAGCATGACCCTGCTTGGATCCATAAGGAGATGGGTCGGGGAGGATGTTGTGCTGCAGCCACCCCTGGACCAGTTGCACTGCCTGGATCACCCGGTTTTCTTCCACTAGCTACATGTGCAGGTGTAACTTCAGTGATCCCGAGTGGTGGGTCAGCACCAGCTCTTGCAAGGGGTTGGGGGGAGAAAGTCAAATGGACATTGCTTTTTTTTCACAGTAAGCTTGATTCTAATGAAAGGATCAAGCTCTGGGGACCGGAGGCCTCCTAAGAAGAAAAGGAGCAAGGACGACAGCAAGGAAAGCCTAAAGGGCTTCACAATTCTGGATGAGGGGCTTCTCCTGGTAAGAAAACCCAGTGCCTTGCATCAGTTCAGCCCTTGCGCTTTCCTATGGCTCCCAGCTGTTTGGCCCGTGGGCACCTCTGCACTCTTCTGTTGCTAATGAGCAACACTTTCAGGCTCAACGAGAGCAAGTAACACCGGCAGGGTGAGGCAGGGTATAAAAGCAGTGCAAGAGACTTGTCCCCATGGCATGGGCTGGAGAAATGGATGATTAGTAGCCATCTGCATTAGATGTGACCAAGACTTTGTAAAAGGGAGGGAGGGAGGGATGAACTGGACAAGGTATCAGGATCAGACTTTGCCACTGATGTGTTTTGTGGCCTTGAGGAAGTTACTTAGCCCCACATTTAAAAAAAAGAAAGAAAAAGCTTGAAGATTGCTGTGAACTTGAAGACTTCTGGGTGCCCATCCTGGAGCAGCCAAGCAGGAGTTTTAAGCAGAGTACCCACGATTTCACATGGAGTTGGTGGGAGGTGCAGACACTCTGAAAATTGGGCCTTCGGTGTCATAAGTGAAGCACCGAGGCTCCAATTCAGTGCCGTAATACCTCCCTCTGCAAAATGGGCACATCCAGCCCTGCCCACTGAACTTTAATTGAGCAGTAGCTGGACGGAGGGCACTCCGTGAGCACGGAGCCTGCCTAGAGACCCACAGTCAGCTCTCTGCTTGTGCCGCCCTACTGATTTTAGCAGGGCTGAGCCAGCAGCAAGTTCAGTTCCAGGATGAGGGGCCAAATCTCTGGTGGTACCAGCGTAGACGAAAAGGCAGGGGGACAAGTGCACTTTCGCCTGCCCACAAACCGCGAACTGCACGGGTATGCAGATCAGTTTCCCGAGCAAATCACTGCTGGATCCCGAGAAGGTGTTAGCGGAGATTGCAGTGCCATTAGTGTCTATCATCCGAACGTATGAATTAAAGGGGTGAGATGCTGCTTGAAAGGATTTGACAGGAGCATGAAAAGCAGAAGGAGCTGTTAGATGCTCCCTGATGGTTCTTGGCTAACCTCCAGCATTCGTGTGGCTTGCTACCCCGGCGCTGTGTTTGCCCAGTAAACAACACTGGGATTTTCTCTTTGAGGTTTCAAGCGCTCTGAAACAACAGATGATTTTGTCAGAAGTTACCATGGCAATTTATTAAGGCTGTGCCATCTCCTACTGCCCAATTTGGGCTGGGGAAGGAAACAGCACTGCAGAGATGAGCTGCTTGACAGAAGCATTGCAGGCCTGGTGACTGCAGCTCCTATCCAAGCCTAGGCCCAACTCAATTCTTGCACTGGCCATTAATGTCCAGCATTTGCGCGGTGTCCTCTTGCTACACGAGCCCGGTGTGAGCTGTGATGGGGACTCAGCACCATACAGGGTTAATCCAGCAAGTATTCAGGTGTCCAGCAAAGCACAGATATTCACTGAGTGGGATTCTGAACCTGTAAAGGTAAGGTCCTAAATACCTTTGAAAGCCTGTACGCTTTTTGGTCATGAACAAATCATCCCACAGCCCCTGGTCCTACCTAGATTTGCAGAGAGGAAAAGAATTCTCCTGAGGAGAGCACGGCTTTTCTAAACCTTTATTAGCAGTAACTACAGCAACGTGAGCCTTATTCTCATCCAACAGTAACTGAATTTTCTTCATCAGGTCGCACCACAGCAGCTTTACCCATTGGAGACCCCACGCGTCATTCAAATCAATGAGCTGACGTGCTGCAAATGTTAACCCAACTTGACCCCCTTGGCATCCAGTGAATTGCAGCCGCTGACCCTTGAGGCCAGCTGAAGCAGTGACTCGGGACACGGATGTCCTTTCCCTATGGAAAACCTAGTCCCCTCTCAGCTCTCTGCCAGCTCAGCGCTACTCTGCACACACTGCGCTCCAGGTGAGCCCTACCGCAGTCGTGCCCTACCATAATCAACAGTGTGCTCGCGTGTAAACAGCGTTCAAATCTTCAGTAAAAGGAAAGCAGCCAACTCTCGAGCTCCATCTCCATTTAACAAACGCATGAAAATGATGTTCAGTGCTCTGCCTTTTCCATTTTAGAGCAGGCAAAACCACCACTTGTCAAAGGCAGGCAGTGCTACCAGGCTAACTGGAGCCATGCTTTTAACACAATATTAACTTTTACTATTGCACAGGAGAATGGGGACCAATTCTCACCAGCCGTGCTGCATTGGGAAAAGAAAGCTCATAGCTGAGCAAAACAAAAACCAATAGTTCCTTGTCTGTCTGGGACTTGGCTACCACAGCAATATACCTGGGCATATACAGGATGTTGCTTGCTTATTCCAGCCATGAGCACCACCTCTTTACATTTGCAGAGCTTTTATGCCATCTCCTCCTTTGAGTTTGTATCTATTTGGGTTTGGGGTTCAAAGGCAAGTGGGACTTAATGAATCCAATGCACTAGGTAGTGACTCATTCAGTGATAAGGCAGCTTCTAGTGACTGTCCTTGGTTTTCATCCTTTTAAGCAAGGAGCAATTGGTTTAAGTTCAAGGAAGTTAAGCGTGTGAAAGCTTTCCAAAAGCAGTCTCTTGAAAAGAAAGCTGGCTGATCTTTGTTAGGAACTAAAAAGCCCAGATCACAGGCTTCTACTATATGCATCAAAGGGAAAGCCAAAGACAGTGCCACAGGAAGATGCTGCCTCGGGACTGCAGAGCTACCTCGACAAAATACAGTTCAGGTGGGTAAGGATAAGGCTGGGACTCACCGTGGCAGGGAGCAGCAGGCACATTGTGGGGCTGCAGCATCATACGGGGCTCAGGGTAGAGCGGTAGCCACCCATAGTCCCTGAGGGGTTAAAAAGATCTAGAGGAGGGGCAGGTAACAGCCGGGAGGAGTGAGACACTTGGCTCTTGGCACAGGAGGAGAGAGCACATACTCTCCCTGGCAGTGTTAAAACTAATTTACCCCAGGATTGTCTCAGACCCTGTGGACGGATATGCAGCACGAAGGGGCTGGCTGAATCTATCGCTACCTCTCTGCATTACATATACAAAGACATTCTAGGTGGTGCCTGGTTGCAATATTGTGTTGCCACAGATCAGTGCTGGCAGGCTGACCTTGCGTAATGTCACAAACAGCTAGAAGGTAGACAGATAACCTGACTTTGTCTCTCTGATTTCTAGGCTTAATCTACAACAGTGGATTCCACAAGATTTGTGCAGTTCAAGCCTAATACAGCGAGCCCCCGGACACAGTTAGAACCAGAAAGTGCTAGTGACCTCTTAAAGAAGCCTTTTTTGCTTTGGCAATAGTCTTTTAGAGAAGCGCGCTACGAATTTGTCGCATCTCTCAGGTGCTGAATTGTGCGAGACAGCAGACACTGACTTGATGGACTGACCTGAAAGCAAACCATAAGCAGAGGCACAGCAGAGGTCAATATTTAGCCCCCATCATGATCAGTAGCAACAAGAGTGGTCTGAGATGGGGAGGACTGTGACAGTCCACTACTTAAACAGCTGTGAGTTATGGGCTAGTGGAGGGTAAGAGCTGGCCACCGAAGTAACGCTCTCTGCTAGAAATGCAGCGAGGGGGTCCACTCCTGGTGACTCACCGAGGGAGAGAAATTGTGGACACCCCTTCAGTTGGGTGTTGAGTTTGCAACGCTATATCTGCAGGTTACAGCAGTTGTGGGCCATGTAGGACTAGACAGATCAGAATAAGCAAGCTGACCTTTCACTAGTGATACACAGCTAGTAGTGCCCAGTGCACACAGTTCACTGAACTGTGCAAAGGATCTGGGCTAAGGCACAATGAACTCAAGTATTTTGATTAAATTGCCAAGCTGCCAATTTTAAATAGATTCCTGCT